CACTAAAAATCTATTTCCAGAAAAAAAGGTAAGGGTTTATCTATAGAAGCTTTTTGTGTCCAGAGCCCTATGTTCCACTACAAGGCAAAACCAGAGTACAAATGGACAGAAAAACATCAGATCCTGACTGAGATATGGCAAGAGTGTTGGAATTATCAGACAAGTGTTTAAAAGCAGTATCATTAATATGTTAAAGAATTTAATGGATAACCTGGACAACACACCCAAAAAAATACACACCTAAGTCAAGATATGGACCATTTAAGATAGAACACAAGAAATGCTAATGGATCAGAAGCACTATAAAAGAAAAAGTGAATAATTTTTAGGAGACTGCTAGTGGACTGGACATGGATGAGGACTTAATTTCTGACTTTGAAAATACATTAACAGGAACCTACAAAATATCAAAAGAAAAAAACTTAGAACAGAATATATAAGGGCTATAAACAGACTACAAAGGGTGTCTTATAAATACAGTGACATTACTGGAGAAGATGAAAAAGAGAACAACAAAAGAACTATTTGAAACAATAATGATTGGCATATTCTCCAAATAAATATCAGATACCAAAATTACAGATCAGACACACTTGCAAAACAAAAATCAGGATGGGGATGGCCACACACAAAGTACACCCAACCATTTCGTATCCAATTCACAGAGAATATAATACAGAGAACAATTCCCAAAAAAACCAGAGAGAAAGGGAAAATTCACCTATGCGGAATCAGAGGTACAAATGGCATCTAACACCTCACCAGAAAGCCTGCAGTCAAAAAGATAATGGATTGCATTACTTAAGTTATGGGGAAACAACAGTCAACCTAGAATTTTGAAACCATTGAAATTGAAAAGTAAAATAAGTGCTTTTGCAAAGAAAAATTTAGAGAGTTTGTTACTAGTGGATCTGCCTTTCGAAATATGTTAAAAGTTCATAACAACAGAAGAAAAATAATGAGTCTAAAACAGGTCTACATTGAAAAAGAAGAGCATCTGAAAAGAACACTGAAGTTAAAATACAACTATTTTCATATTAATTGATCTAACAGACAAAAATTTGTTCAAAATAATAGAAAAATAATATAAACAATGTACTAGTAAATTGTTTATATACATGAACAAAAATAAATATACATGTATACATAGTTACATACAAAATCAGTAACAGCCATGAGACAAGGAGCAGAAGTGTGTAATTGGGATTATTTTGTAACTATAAAGGGTATCACATTACCAATGAAGTTACTTGAAAACGGGCTTGTACTATTAAATATATATCACAAACTAAAGCAATCAGTAACAAAAGATGATAAGCTAAGACAGGAAATAAAACAGAGTCATAGGAAATGCTAAATTAAATCTACAGCCTGTGCATTCAGTGCTGTAAGTTTCCCTTTAAACATTTGTTGCATCTCACAAGTTTTGATGTTTTCATTTTCATTTATTTCAAAATACTTTTTAATTTCTCCTGTTTTTCCTTGTCCCATGTATTACTTACATGTGGGTTGTTTAAACACCTAGCATTTGAGAATCTTCTAGATTATTTTCTGCTGTTTATTTCTAGTTAATTGCATTTTAAATAAGCCACTGTGCAGTATCTGTTCTGTTGGAATGATATATTTTATGGCCCACAATGAGGTCTTAGTGAATATTCCAAATGAATGTGTACTCTGCTGTTGGGTAGATTAGCCTATAGATGTCCACTATGTACTGCTAAATATGGTGTTGAACTAAACTTCATTCCTTCCTGTTTTTGTGCCAAATTAATTGCTTGTTTTTCCTAGAAGGATACTGAAGTTTCCACTTATAAAGTGAATCCATTCCTTTCTTCTTGCACTTCATTCAGTTTCTGCCTTACATATTTTAACATTTTATTATTTGGTGCATGTATGTTAAGGATGTTTTCTTGGAAATCTGATCCCTTGACCCTTAGGTAATATCACAGTTTTTCTCTTAAAACTTCTTTTGTTTAGTCTGAAAAATAGTTATAGTGGCCAGAAAAGCCAAGAAAGTGACTGAGGAGGAGGAAGAGGATAACGATAAGGATGAAGATGAGGAGGATGACGGAAGAAGAGGAGGAGCGAGTCTGGCCAGGAAGCACCTGGAAAATGAAAGAAGGAAAAATGACAAACAGAAGGCAGCTCCTGAAGCCAAGAAACAAAGTGGAAGGCACAAAACAGACTCAGCATTCTATCTCCTCAGTGGAAATCGAATTGTAACAAAGCTGCTCCCGAATTAAAAACTGGTACCAGTGAAGTTTTTACTAAAAATGATCTCACTACTGTGGATCTCTGAATTGGTACAAACTGGAAGTTTGGCTATGTGAACTTTGAATCTGCTGAAGACCTGGAAAAGGCTTTGGAACGCACTGGTTTAAAAGTTTTAGGTAAGGAAAATAAATTAGAGTAATCCAAAAGAAAACACAGCAAGAAAGACTGAGATATAGGGACATTTTTGGCTAAAAAAATCTCCCTTCCAAAGTTACTTGTCTCAAAATGCCACAGAGACCAGACTAGTTAGCAGGATGGGAAGAGTTGACGATTTGCTTACATTCAATTTAAGACAAAAGCCAATGCAGAGAAACCTATGAAGAAAAGCAGGGTACAGAGATGGATAGGCAACCTGTTCCCTCTAATATACTGAAGAGAAAGCTCAAAATCAAGACCACACAGGTGGAAAGAACAAGGTCTCAATTGGTGAATCAAAAACTCTGTATTTAAGCACAACAGAGAAATCTCTTTGGGAAGTATCTGAGAAGGCAAGTTTTACCACAGTGCCCCAGAACCAAATGGCAAATCTGAACAGTACACATTTATAGAATTCACTTCCCATGAAGATGCTAAAGAAGCTCTAACCTCCTGCAAATAAAGGGGAAATGGGAACAGAGCCATGATGGAGCTGTAAGGACCCAGGGAATCACCTAGGGCAAGAAGCCAGTTACCCAGAAACCTGTTTGTTAGGAGTCTGTCCTAGGAAACCACTAAAGAGACCTTCAAGGAACACTGGATGAACGACTCTACTGGAGTAAGAATGGTCACTAGCTGGGAAAACAGGTCCTCCAAGGGGCTTGGTTTTGTAGATTTGAACAGTGAGGAAAACGCCAGTGCCTCCAAGGAGCCCATGGAAGAAGGCGACATCAACAGAAACAAAGTCATCTTGGATAAACCAAGGCTTTGGGGACAGCAGTGGCAACAGAGGAGGTTTCAAAGGCTGAGACTGAAGCAGAGGCAGCAGAAGCAGAGTTGGAGGCAGGGGAGGCTTTGGAGGGAAAGGCAGCTTCCAAGGTGGCAGGAGAGGAGGAGGAAATCACAAGCCACAAAGACAGCAGATGAAGTGTGAACAGCCCCTCCTGTCCCTGTCTGTAACCCTTCACTGGAGAGAAAGGACCCTGGGGTTTATTCTGTTACCTGCCAATGACAGAGCCTTTGAAGACATGCCGAGAAGGCACGTATCCTGTAGTCCCCTTGGAAAGCAGAAATGACATTTCAGAAGACACAGACCCGGTATACCCCACTGGTTTTGACTGGAGATTCATAAACTTTTTCAAGAGATGAAGGATGGAGCTAACCTTGATCTGTAAGTTTTGAATTTATACTACTTCATCCCATGCACAAAACCATATTTTTCCAACAAATGTGTGTGTGTGTGTGTGTGTGTGTGTGTGTGTGTGTGTGTGTTTGGGGTGAGGGTTAAAGGAAAACAAAATGTTTTATCATATTTGTTTCTGTGATTTTTAGGACAAATTTAAAGTCTTAACCTCCAAAAATAAATAAATAAAAAGAATGAACCCTAATGTGTAAACCAAGACTCTCAGGACAATGATGTGTCAGTAGGTGCATTAAGTATATTCAGTGCACCAGTCTGACAGGGGTTGTTGATAATGAAGAAGGTTATATAGGGCGAAGCCCATGGGAATTTCTGTATCTTCTGTTTAATTCTGCTATGGACCTAAACGTGCTCTTAAAAATAAAGTACATTTTATATGAACGAAAAAAGAAGAATATAGGCATCTTATCTGCAAATACAGAGGGAACAAAAGCTAGCAGTTTGTAAGTCGATTACTAAGAAACTGATGTATTCCTGGAGAATATGTCACAGAAACATTACATGTATAGGATTTTTATATGCTCGGGAGTGTGTGGTACAGGAATCTAATAAAAGATTTTCTGAAATTAACCTGAAGGATGAGGCACAAGGCCAAGAATAAAGCAAGAAGCAGAAGCAATGTTGGAGAGCCCAGCGCACGTCCACACAACTCCACACGTCCCCCTTTGCTCTAATCAACAACTGCTCCTGTGTCACATAGCAAATGTACTGTATTTACTGAGCACCAGCGTGCAGTGAGTGTTAAGGACTTCCGAGGCTATGAGAAGGCACCCAAAGTCTGAATTAGGCCTGGGTGAGAAGCATGATTGATCTCTGCTGTTTTTCTGCAAAGCACCAAGTTAGAGTCTTGACAGCCCCGAGAAAAGGAAGAGCCAAGTCAGACCTAGAAATAAGCTAAAACCACCTAAAAGCAGGTACATGAGTCAGACTGAGGCCACTGAGGAAGCAACTGCTCTGATTCCACACTCGGGAATGGCCAGTGGTGCTGCAGTTCCTCCGATTAACTTGAGACAGTCCCTTAAGCTCTCGTATCTTCAAAGTGGAAAAAATAACTTTCACATAAAAAGACAATGTTGATCTTCTACACTTTCTGGTTAGCATAAAGACACCTTTATAAAGCTGTCCCGTATGTAGCAGAATTTATAGAATTATATGTATATAAATACAGGAAGAAACCAAGAACTCTAAACAACCTCACTCCCAGTGCAGATTCTTTCTGCAGTGTTGTCCCTGCCTGATATAGGTAGTGACAATGACCTCATTCCTTTTAGAAAGCTATTCATCTTTGACTATCTACAACAATAAAAAAAAATGTTCCTTGCAATTTGCCATTGCTAATACAACTCTAGGTACTAGAGAAGAAGGCATCTCGGTACATACTTGGCTTGAATTGAATGCAGTTCCATCTCTTTTTTAACATCCATCTACTGGTCCTTCTCACAGTACTAAGCAGAAGTATCGTTTCTCTATTTCAGCCATTGTTCACATCATGCTTTCCACAATGTTCATAATCCCAGTGGCTTCCATGTGTTCCATTTACAATGTAATACCTGGAAAATAACATTCCAGATACTGTACAAGCAACAGAGAGCAAGGAAGAATCAGTATTTTTTTTTAGCAGGAATGAATCTGTAACACAGATATACCTTCTTTTTAGTGTTGTAGAATTTAGAGTCCACTTAATCCATTCTACAGTTAGAATGGCAAATTAACAAGATTTCCATATCACAAGACATCATCCTACCATTAAAACAAAGTATTTCAGAAGTTAAAGCATTGTGTGAGCATAAAGCAGTGGATTTCATAATTAGGTTCCATTATGATGCTTTAAACACAATGCTGAGGGACCAGAACCTCCCAGCATGACCACAACTGGAGATATAACAGGAGAACTGTGCTTAATTACACTACTACAAAAAAAAAGAAAATATTCAGAGAGAAGAATGAAGACAAATTACACTTATAAGTTTGCTAAGTTGAATCAATCATTACAATTTAGTAGGTATAGAAAGAAATATTGGACTATGATTTCTTTCAGTTGTCATGGGTTTTGTTGTTCTGAATAACAAAAACACGTGCCTTGGCCTGTTATTCTGTACATGAACACTTTGGAAGATTCTGGACATCGGGAAGTCTCTGTAAGAGTCTAATTGCCCAGGATTGTCCTGAGGGCCTTGAAAAATTACTGGATGGGGAAATTTTTCATAAGTGAGAATTCATTCCACAAGGGACAACTTAACATAATCTACTTAGCACAGTAAATCTTACAATGCTGTATTTCTCTCATTTACAATTTTCCCTCAAAGTGTCTTGGCAATTATTAAGAGTTAGAGTTAAGAGGCTTCCATGAGGGCCAATTTGTCTGCTCAGAAAAAAGGACATCTTGCTAATTGCAGAGAAATAGTGTGGCTTTTTTACGAGAGTAACAGATGACATATGCTGAGAATTTGTTAATATTTCAAAGGTCAAGGAGAAAACATACATCAAATAGGTATACAAATAAAAACAAATACAAATACCAGTGAATGTAAACAGATATAATTCCCTAAACAACTGACCTGCAGGGAGTATATCTAACACGAAGCCTTACTTTTTCTTTAGACATGCATCACAGAAAGCAATTCATAAAATAATGAGAGGGTATTCTGGTTAATAAGCAGGTAGTTCTATGATAATGTAATGAAAAGGGTTGGTGTTAAATAATCAGCCAAGTCAAAAAAATTTAGTGCTTCACTGCTGATGTGCTTCTGGACTAGAAATTAATTACGCCCAGTGCTTCACGGTGGATCATGCTGACACACACAGTAAAGAGCTCTGAGGACTGAACAACATTCTCTTTACATCTGCAACATTAGAGGTTAATGACCATCCTTAGTCCCTCATACTTTGGAGGGTTAACTTCAGAATGCATGAATTCTTGGTGTCATTATTATTCTAACTAACTATGGATAAGAATATATAGAATGACAAACACAGCACTTAAGAACAGAACAGCAAACATAAAAGTTACTCATTTTATTGGCTTCCGATCTCCCACTCACTAAATGCTGGCTCCACCGTGGCTGTGCTCTGCTCAGAAGTGGCTGGCTGGCCTTCCAAGCCTCAGCAGTAAAGTTTCGTTCCCACTCACACATGGATAAGCGCCTATTATGATCGCTTTGCCTGGCTTGTGTCTTGGGACCAGTGGGAAGGATACCAAACTGTTGTATCCAGAAGCTGAGAAGAGTTGAACAAGGACATTTAAGTTAACTGTTAGGAAATCAAACACTTATGATAAATGTTTCCCTTCCACTTTGTTAAACATTTAGCATACATCTGCTAAATTCTGCTTCTGTGTTCTCTGCGCCAATTCTCCTTCTGCAAGCAAATCCCCTCCCCAAATAAAGTTCATATTTTATTCTCTCCAATATTAAAAATAGCCTGGTAACTCCAAATGTTCTTAGAGGACTTCAAGATTTTTATCATACTAAAGCCATATGAACTAATATATGTTAGCTTGATTTAGTCATTTTACAATGTACATATACATATTTTAAATATCATATAGTATGCCACAAATATTTATATTTGTAGTTAAAAAATAAAATGATTAATTGAAAGAAAATACTGTATTGCTAGCAAAGATATTTAATATAAGGAGCAAAGCAACATACCAGACAATGCAAAAACAACAAAAGAAGTATACAGTGCAACATACATAAAATGTAAAAGGTCTCTACATGACAAAAAATTTAAATTATCAAAATTAAGAATGTTACTGTTGAAACCATTTGTTTTCAAAAATGTGTATCAGTTGCCTACTCTGGGACTTGTACTGATCTACATGCTAGAGATACAAAGAACAGTCAAAGCCAAGGTTTCTGTTTCAGATCTCACACACACACACACACACACATAAAACAAATATCAAAAATGTTGATTAACATGTGAGGTGTACATACAATTCTACATGTTGCTAACCTAGATAAACTACTTACTATGGGATTCAATTCTTGTTTCAGCAATTGTTCAAAGACAAAAATTATATGGTTAAAATGTTTCTGTCATAATTTTCATGTTTAATTTCTGTTTCAGAAGTATTTGCTTCATGCACAGAATTAGTGCCTCATGATCTTAAAATCTACATGCATCCCAAGAAAATGAAAGAACCAGCAAGCAAGACAGGACAAGGTCTGAGCTCATCTTGTGTTTTCCCTGAGTTAGTGACTTCCATTTGGTTGAGATTATTCCAGACTTCTTTTAAAAATTGGCTTTCCATGTTAGGTATCAGTAACATCTATCCAACAAGTGAAAAACTACCCAAGACAAATCACTGCAGGCATCTGGATTTTTTTCCACTTTAATCCCAAAATAATAAACTGTGAAACACAATAAAACCATGACTGCTGTCCATCTCAGTATTACATGACAGGTATCGTCTCGTCATCTGGATTTTTTTCCACTTTAATCCCAAAATAATACACTGTGAAACACAATAAAACCATGACTGCTGTCTATCTCAGTATTACATGACAGGTATCATCTGACCCACAGTTTATGGAAGCATGTCTCCTGAGAACTTCTAGGAATAATAAGAAAATCGTATCTAATAATACAAACAAAAGGCAACACAGCAACTTTGCAAGTGTTATCTTAATCTCAAGATAAAATCTGTGTAACCTTGAAAATGGGTTAAAAGAAGCAAAACTTGTGCACAATTCTAATTCCTGATTTTACAAAATGAGTGATTTTCTGTCTTTAACATATAAGCAAAATTCTACTGGTTTTGAATTCATCCAAGTGACATCTTCTTGCCACGTTGAGATTTTGTTTAGAAAAATAGCTGTCCATATCTTCATATATATTGAAATTAAATAATACAAAATGGACTAAAACCCATCTAAGCAAAGAACAAAAACATTAGTGGATTTTGTTTAGATTTTGTATGAACTTGACCTGCATTGGGTAAACGCAGGGTCACAGCAGGAAATACTAGGTAGACTTAGCATGATCTCAGGCTTGGAGCTTTGAATCATCTCACAGACAGGAAAATATTTTGACAGTTGCCATAATAATCATAGTACAATGCTTAACATTAAAAGCTCTGAACACTACCTGGATATAAAACCCAGGACCTTTACTTATTAGCTAAGCAATCAGGGACAAATCATGTAAGTTGCTGCCTTTTGTCTCGGTTACTTTTCTCTTATTGCTGAGACAAAACATTCAACACCCAAAGTTAAGGAAGGAAAGATTTATTTAGCTCACAGGGTGTGGAGGTTTCAGTCCATACTCAGCTGGTCCCAAGGCAAAGTGGCACATGGCAGAGGGCAACACCTCATGGCAGCAGAAAATAACACAAACAACAAGAGCAAAATGGGAGAAGCACAGCGAGAAGACTCTGTCTCTCATATTTTACGTAGACCTCACCCACATGGGTGAGCACTCATAGTGAGTCATTCACAAACTCTAGAAGCCCACCTCCCTGACTGCATGAAGCTTTGGGGGAAGCCCCAGACTGAAACCATAACGCCCTTCAAGCTACTTTTCTTTTTCTTCCCAGCTTTACAGAGATAATATTAACCAGAAAACATTATATATATTCAAGGTGTATCATTGATGCCTTGATACACACATACACTATGTAATGATTAGTACAATCAAATGAACACATATTTCACTACATTAGTTATCTTATCATGTGTATATGTAGCAAAGAGGTAAAGACATGTTTTCTCTTGGCAAATTTCAAATAGGCAATAAACCATTTTAAATGATATTCATAATAATTTCTTTTTTATTTTAAAGGGAGTAAAATAAAACAGCAAACAGAACAAAGTAGAGTACAACAGCACAATGCACAATGCAAGTCATACAGAATTTCAAAGCAAGACAATGGGAGATAAACAGTGGCTACCAGAGTGTCTCTTGTTTTCTTTGAATAGTTGTCCATACCTCCACACACAATAAATTCATGCAAAATAAAATGACATAAAACTGATCAAAACAGAAGAGTGAAAGCATTACAGGCCTTCAAAATCAGACAATAGGAAAATCAACAATGGCTACCATAATGTCTCTTATTCTCTTCAAAATAGCTGTCCATATCTTTATATACATTGAAATTAAATAATATAAAACAGATTAAAACCAATCTAAACAAAGAATAAAAGCATTACTGGATTCACAACATGATGATAAGAAATCAGCAATGGCTACCATAATATCTCTTTTTCTTCGAAGCAGCTATTCATATCACACATAATACGATCAATTCTTATAATCTCTTTAGGAGAAGTTTTAGGCATGTATAAGCCTCTATATGTATATCTATCCTTTCTTTATTAGAGGGAAAAACAAAACAAAGCAAAACAAGAAACAAAAAGACAAATAATAATAGTAAAGAGCCCAAAGCAATGATAATATAGACTTTTAAAACAAGGTGGTAGGAACATAAATAAGATTGTTATTTTGCATAGAAATCTTCGAAAGAGTTCCTCAGATTACTACCTATAAACATGCAAAATTGATCTAATCCTATGAATGTTAACTGTTTTGCACCAAGAACTAATAGAATTAGTAGCACAATCATTTAACTATCTTAAGTGTTTATATACAAATTAATATCTTTTTTCTTTTCCCTTCCTTTTTTTTCTCCTTTTCCCTAAGTTATTTTCCTCCTTTTTGTTTGTTTTGTTTTGTGTTTTAAATAATTTCTATTTGTTCTTAAAGTGAGGTTACAGTCCTTTTGTGCTAAGGAATGATGGCTGCATTGTACTGAGAACTAAGTGACATTTTCTCACATAGACCACTAGAGCAGTATTCGGGAAATGATACCTACAGTACAGGTTACCAAAGAACGCAGCTGCTACGAGAACTGTTACAATAAAATTTAAAGTCATTTCCTGCTGACAAAGACTAAGTATTTTCCTTTTCAGACACTACATAAATTACTGTGGCAAACTCTTTCATCTTTGAAAATCACACCTATCTTTTCTTCCCATTCTTTTTACAATGAATAGGTAAATTACAAAGACTATGTTTTATTTTATATTAGGAAAAGACGTTTTTGTTATTTCACCTGCTAAAGTGTCTTAAAGATCCTATTTTTGAAGATGAATTTAGAATTGACAGGCATAACGTAGCATTCCCCACATTCTCTGAGCAGAGGGAGATACAGGGTCACCTCAAAGAAATTCTCATTTCATCTTCCAAACAAAGGTGAATGAAAGAATTCCAAGACTATACTTGGAGATGGAAAGCCACACAGAGTCAAACACCACAAACATAAAAGCCAACAAATGGTTGCAAGTATAAGCCACAAATCAAAAATCAATAATCAAAAGTTGAAAATGCTCATTTTTTATTACAGCTGCATCTCCTGTGGGATATCTTCCAAGTCAATACTAATGAGGACATAATCGCCTTTTTTGGAAAAACTCCAAAAAGGCTAATGTTCTATAAAGAATCTAATAAATGAAAAGACATTGTTACCATATTAACTTCATTAATTTTACTATTGCTTTGTTAAAGAACACATTCACTTTTAGATTATATGTAGTTTGGCTTTTTGTTTGTTTGTTTTTACGAGACATGGTCTCACTATGTAGTCTGTGTGTCAAGCTGATCTCGAACTCAATACATAGCCCTGGCTGACCCCAAACTCACAGGGATCCTCCTGCCTCAGCCTCCCAAGCACTACAATTACAGTTACGCACCACCACACCCAGCTAGAGAATGTGTTGTAGTTTATTTGAATGTCCCCCCAAAGCCTCATTCAGTCATCGAGGTGACTGAATCTGGCATTTGTGATTGGTTCAGTGTCTAGCACTGGGATTATGTTATGAGTGTTCCACCCACCCAGGGGTGGAGCCAGTGTAACAGTGGGAAAAAGGCAGGTCTTGCTCTTTTGCTTTCACTTCTACTGTTTATAGTGGCCATGAAATGGCTACCTTGAAGCCAACTGACTATGGAATCCCCAAGAACTGTAAGAAATAAACCTTTCCTTTCGTAATTCTGGGCATCAGGTATTTTGTCTCAGCAAGGAGTGAAAAGTACCTAAGACAATATGTAAATAAAATCTTTATCTTTTTCAATTTTTCTGTAATTTGTTATTCCAGAGGAGAAATATTATTGATGTACAATAGTAATGACATCCACCAATACCTATCTAAATTTCTAAGGAAATTCACAGGCATGTGAAATTGCCTATTACAGGTAAGCTGAAATGTCAATTTGATTGGCTTTGGAGCTACCTACAGTAAGCACAAAGCACACTTCTGAGTGTATGATGGTAGGTCACAAATGTGTGGCTCTGGGTATAATACATGGTTCCCAACCCCTGCCTCTCTGACACTGTTCAACTGCTGTTTCTCAACAGCTGTTACCGCTAATCAAGCAGCTATGATCTGCCATGTCTGTCCACTATGAGTTTCTGTGTTGAGCCAGCCCACCAGGGAATCAGTCCCTTGAAATGAGACCCAAAATAAGCCCTCTCTTCCTTTAAATTATAGGTGTTGGGTATTATGTCCCAATATAGAAAATTGGAACCAGAGTTGTGTTGTTGTATGACTTTACCAGACCGTGTTGTTTAGAGAGCTTTGGAAATGTTTTGTTCAACAGTTTGGAAAAGGTTTGGAGGTGTGATCTAAAGAAGATTTAGAGCCTGATGGATGATTCCGATCAGAGCCCAGTAAAAAGGAGGCTAATAGGAATACAGAAAGCAAAGGCCCGGCCCAGGAGATTTCAGCTGAGTGGAAAGGCTCCATTGGAATTTGGAGTGCAGTCCATCTGTGTTGCAATTTAGCAATAAAATTATCTACATTTTGCTCAGATCTTGAAACATTACAAGTGACTGAAACTAAGGGCAGTGGACGTATGGATATAGTGTATGAAATTTCAAGCCAGTCCAGCGTGCAGACTGTGTCTTGGGTACTGCTGATTGCTTTAGCCAGATTTATAGTAAAAATAAGTGGCAAAGGGCAGAGCAAAACTTATGTTTTGGCCCAAAAGAAACTACTTATAAAATGAGGGCCTAAGGAGATATGTTCATTGAAGAGCCTAGCACCATTAAAAACATATTAAGCTGTTCGTACAAAGAAGAACAATGTCTCAATAGCATCTCAGAAGTTAGTGTGACTCCACCCATTTCTGGCTCAAGGATGCAAAATTAATTTCAAAGGACAGTCCCTGGGACCCTCAACTAATGAAAACCTAGTTTCAAAACAGCTGTGAGGGAGGAGAAAGCTGTAAGACAACAGTACAAACTGAAAACAAAGTACACTCAAGTAAGAACTTTGATGAAATACTTTTAAAGTTCAGAAAAAATAAAATAGACATAAAATAAAAATAATATCGACAAGTCCAGAAACAAAACAAAAGAAAAATACTTCTGGAAATGCAGACTAAGTTTCAAGATACTCACAGGAAGATAAGGAATAAGAGATAATAAGGTAATTAAGAAAGAAAGCCAGAAGACAAAAAATGAAAAAAGGAGAGCAAAAAAAGTAGTCAAAAAGAAATGCTACAAATAGAGGACAAAGATGCAATGCATGTGTACAACTGAAATCTCTGAAAGGAAAACATCCCTTATGTACAATTATATAGAGAATTATATTCCAATTAAGATTCCTGAACTAAAATAATTGAATCAACCTACAAGGCATAGAGAAAATTAACCCAGAGCAATCAACCACAAGATAAATCCTTGAAAAACTATTAACTTACATAATGAAGATAAATGTTCCTTACATCTTCTGAGCCAAAGATCAACTAATATTACACATGAGCAAAGGAGGTAGGCCAGTATATCATTTCTCCAACAACACAATGACAGCAATGACTACATTTTCCCCTAAATATTCTGTGGGGACAAAGTGGCAAAACAGAACTTTATTTCATTCAAACTGATCATACAACTTCTAAATCTTTTAGAATTCCGCAGTTACAATGCATTCTTAGGAAATCTCCTAGAGGATGAGTCCCTTCCAAAATATATATAACTGAATAAAACTTTAACAAAAAGGATCAAGGGGAAAATGATGAATATATATGTTGCACTAAAAATAAAAAGAATGAAATAAAAACTGGAGAATGAGAGAAGAACAAAATAAGCTCACTGATTGCATTTGGAGTAGAAGCAATATGTAGGAGGGAAGAGATGACAAAAAACTGACAAAAATAGTGAATGCTGCATAAGAAGACATAAAATTTAAAGCATGTAAAAAGCTGCAGTACTAAGTTAACACTAAAACCAAGTGAAATATAAAAAAGTATTGGAAAGAAAAATCTACAAAGTCCATAGAATATACAACTTAGAGGAAAAAAGAAAAACATACCATAAAATAATATATAATTACATAATCACAGATTTGAGAACACAGCAGTCGTGTCATTGAAATGAATGAACTTAATGAAAGTATTACAAGCAATTTAAAATGTGTTAGCAAACAGAGATTTAATACTTTTCTGTGGCAAGGAGACATGAACAGAAATATGCTCATTAATGGGGACATTATGACAGAAAACTGTCAGTCAAGAACCAGGAGCAAACACTGGTAAAGACACTGAAGCTCTAAACATATAAACACTAAAAAAGAGTTTATCACGGCTTCATTCTCAAGTTTTACTTTACTAAGTAACTCTTGTGAAAGGAGAAATAGAAACTAAAATTAAGAAATGTTTAAAAATAATGATAAGACAGTATTTATAGAAACATTTAAACAGTCATTGAAATAAAAAGTTTAAATACAGAATTTAATAAAAATAAAACACATATCGGGTATTTAATCTCAAAAACCAGAGAAAGAACAACAAAAAAAAAAACAAAGAATGTAAAACAGAATATCATAATTATAGAAATTAGACTAAGAATAGGAAAATATTATATTTAATGAATGAACTAAAATTATTTTTAAAAACAACGGTATAGGATCCGTATGGTTTACGTCTAAATGTCTAAAATGTTCCCTAAAAGTCTCGTATGACTGGAGGGTGACTGGCTCATTGAGGCTTGGGGCTGTACTCACCCAGGGGATCCTCTACTGATGTGTTCAGTGCAGAATGCGTCTGGACAAGTGGACCCTTGGTGGTGAATGGTCATTGGGCCATGACCCGGAAGTGTATTCCTGGGCCTGGTTTTCCTCTCTTTCCACTTCCGGCTTCCGTGAGTTGAACAGCTTTATTCATTAACTCTTCCACCATTTCTTTTCCGCCTTGGAGCCTGCTGACTTCAGGCTGAACCCACGATCAAGGTGAGCCAAATGAACACTGACAGAATTTTCGGCACAGCTAAAAAGATAGAAATATAGAAAAAAAAAGTGGCCTTTATTCCGAGAATGCTGAGAGAGAACCCTCCGACCACTGAGGTCTGGCTCTCTGCCGGACACGTGGTGTGCGGGCATACATACAGCTTAGGTTTGGGGTGATGCCTCAAGGACATGACTGATGCACAGGTAGCTCATTGGAATTTCCTGAACAGCAGGAAGTAGTAAAAGAAAGAAAAACTTTGCTCTTTTTCCTAATAATAAAAAAGCTGGAAATGAAAAGATTTTGCCCTAAAGGGGATGCTGCAGCGGTGGGAGGCTGGGAGGCAGAAGGTCACCTTCCCCGCCCCTAAGCAATTTACCTGTAGTCCAATGAGCTATCTGTGCATCAGTAATGCCCCTTAGGCTCCACCCCAAACCAAAGCAATATAGATGCTCCCCGTAAGGCGTGCCAGCAGAGAGAAAGCCAGACTTCAGTGGTCGGGGATTCTCTCTACGTGAACTCGGAATAAAGGCCACTTTTGTCTCATATTTCTATCTTTTTAGCTGCACTCCCAGCTCCCCAATTATTTTTAAACAAGCAATTATGATATTAATATATCATTACAATGAACAGTACCAAAAATAAACTATAGAACAATGTCACTTGTGCACATCAGTGGAAAGTACTAAAATATTGTCAAGTAACATTCAACACTACATTAAGAGAATACTACCAAATGACCCTGTAGGGTCTTCTCAAGCAAGATTAGTGCAATATTAGGTAATCTATTAACATTACATACCAAATAAATAAATATAAAAAGAAAAATAATTTGATTTTTGTACAACTGTTAAAGAACCTTGAGATAATTAAAAATCTATTACTACATCTTAGAAAACACTCAAAGAGTAAAAACAAAAGATGCTTTTCTTTTCTTCTTTTTTTAAAAATGTTTGTCTTTTTGAGACAGAGTTTTTCTATGAAGTTCAAGCTGGCCTTGAACTCACTTGGCAGCCCAGGCAGGCCATGAACTCCTGAAAACCCTCCTACCTCAGCCTCCTGAGTTTAGGCATTATATGCATGTACCACCATAGATGATAGATGCTTTCTTAACTTGATGTAAGAGATAGGTAGTTTAATCCTAAACACAGCATCTAACAAAGAAAAATTGTTTATTCAACACTACACTAGATAATGAATTTAAATAAATCAATGGAGAAGATTTGTGTAAGAAAATATTACAGCATAGTATGAAAACCCAAAGAACTAATGATTAAACCAGCTCAAACAAAAATAATTCAGTAAGGAAGTTTAAAAAAACATGAAAACCAATAATATTCACAAATGCAAATAATTAAAATGCATAAGAGTAGAAATATTATGATGACAATAAGATGAAGTTGTAGGAATAAACTCAAAAAATGTGTAAAAATAAATGAGAAAACATTATGCAACTCCTGAAAGACAAGAAGTAAAGCTGAAAAAGTAGAAAGGATCTTTGTTCTAGAGTGGAAGTATTCAACAACATAAAGATGTCACTCATTTCTAAGGTAATTTATAATTTTAAGACTAGTAGGAAAACACAAAAAAGAAATGCCTGTGAGGGTGTTTACTTTGTGTTACTAAAAATACTAGAAAGTCCATGGTTTAAATGAAAGTGATACTTATATGAATAGACAGACATGCAGAATAGAACACCGAGTCCAAAACAATACCAGTATCATGTGCAATCGACAGCTGTATTTCTTGGGTAGCTCACATTTCTGTGCATCCCATGTTATCTGTGGTTCATACTGTCTCTTGAGGATGTTTACATAGCCTTGAAAGACAGAGATACAGAGGTCCAGAACACAGGCTAGATCTTAAAGATAATGTCATATAGATTAATGAATGTATTTGATAACAAAGGAAATTTACACTTTTTCACTATTTAAGGATGCATTAAAGATAACAAAATTATAACAATTATTTCAAAGAAAACAAGCTTAAAATAAATATTCAATAAATTCCTCTTTAAATATTTACAAAAACACAGTTTAAAAATATTAAATTATAAAAATGAGTCTATTGTTTGGGTAAACAAAGATTACTTTTGATAAAATTAAAATGAGAGCCTTGAGTTTTTGAGAAATCTAGTATATGAATATTTTTAAACAAAATAAAGAACATGTATCCTTACATATGAAATCTCTCTAAGTGTCTGACCGCAAGGGTGGCCTGTGACTACCAGTGGGGTCTGCAGACTGTTTACTGGGCTTTCATTTCCATACACAGGTGCCACTGGTATACCTTATCATAATCTCTTGAAAAATATTTTTATAGCATAGAGTGAGCTGAAATTGTTATTTCATTTTCTAATTCATTATATTCTTACACATCAACTTTAAGAACTTCATTCATCTTAGCCAAAAAGATGCTTTATTAGAGAGGCCAGCAAAAAAATCAGGAAAATAGTGTTAAGTACAGCAGTAAGATAATGCCTTATTATGACTCTAATAGAAATCCGTGCAATCATTTAATGATTGACATGATGAGAAATTATATGAAAGATATCTGTGACATTTATTTTAAAATTTATTATGATATTTTACCTTTAGACTAAAAAAGATAAATAGTGCTGAGAAAGTAGTATCTACTCCCAAATCCTATATTTCCAATGTAACATCTCTTAACAATTCTATATTAAAGGTATAAATATATACTACTCATTATGAACAAGATTCTTCATTATAAGTAAACTGTATTTCTCCTGTACTTCATTGTTTTGAATAATTCTCCTTAAACTTTATTCTCTAATTATGAAAGCTTTCAGAGACAAGCTTTTTAGATTACAAACTTTGTCATCCTTATTAGCCAGGGTGGTATTTTACAAATGTTTTTCAATGGTATACAATTATTATTACCAAAATAATGCACTGGCTAATCATAGCAACCAGGACTATGCAGACCTGTTACAGTTGCTCATCATCCTCCCTCATACGTGGGATAACCATATATCTGTCCTGGAACAGATATATGTACTTTCACCAGCATCTAGATGGATTTCTGGCCCATACAAATTGACAGAATTTCTATTTTCATCAATATTAGTAATGCTGATATGTATTTTCACCGTCACCAAAACTCATCTTTCTCTACACAAAAGTAGACTCTTGCAAATAGTTTCATGGTATAGTGAGCCTAAAGTGGTCCTACTTCATTTTCTCATTAATTATTTCTTTACAAATCACTTACAAGGACTTCATCTCAGTAACAAGTGCTTTATTACTGGTGCTAGAAAAAAATTAAAATCAGAAAAATAGTCTCAAGTAAAGCAATCTGATAGTAGGTGATTTTAGCTTTCCTTTTCCCCCTAGCTACAGTGCTTTTTATTTTTATCAAAAAAAGTAATAGGGGAGCTTTGAACAGCTATTTTGAAGAGAACAAGAGTCATTGTGATAGCCACTGTTGATTTTCCTATTGTCTGGTTTTGAAAGCCTGTAATACTTTCATTCTTCTGTTGTGATCAGTTTGATACCATTTTGTTTTGCTTGAATTCATTGTGTGTGAAGAAATGGACAACTATTTGGAAGAAAACAAGAGATATTATGGTAACTACTGTTGATCTCCTGTTGTCTTGCTTTCAAATCCTGTATCACTTGCATTGTTTTGTTCTGACCCGCTTTGTTCTGTTTTGTTAGGTTTTGTTTTACCCTCTTTAAAATAAAAAAATAGAAGAGAGTAAATAGGATATAAAGTGTGATGTGTCATTGATACTATCCCTCTCTACTATTTACCCCTTTAAATAGTTTAAAGGACACCATTTACAGTACTAGAACACCATTAAAATAATTTTTATGAGACATAAAAACATAGAGATGATGAAGGTACCATGAGCAGGTAGGGAATTTTACAGAAAACATAACTATAGTCGGCAGCCCAATGGTGGTGTGCCTGGTGCCTACAATAATGCATTTGAGCACCATTACATTTCTGACAGGGCCACACACACCCAAAAAAGGCAAAACTAAGCATTTTCTTTCTACCCTCCAAACTCTGGGACCACAGGGCTCAGTTGAAAAGTCTGTGGATAAAAGATGCCTATAAAAAATACAAGTTGCTTTCAAATCAGAGGAGTTGTGGGACTACATCTGTACTTTTACAAAGTGCTCTTTTTAAAAGAGATAGAGTATACAATCTGTGCTACACCACAAGCCAGACAGTGAATACATATATGCTGTGTTGTGGTATCCTCAGGCTTCTTTACTTTCCCTCACAACCTCAGGTTCCTGTAGCATAGAACACATAGGTTTTGAATAAACATATACAAAGGCATTTGGATCTCTTGAACTCTGCAGACATTAGAACCTACAGCCTATGTATTGCATTTTAGCATCAATGACCACAATTTTTCCTTTTAGTTTTGAAGATATATTCCTGTATAACATTACATGGCACAAATGTACAAGAAAATACTGGTTTCAGTCTATACTGTTTCCAAAATAATTATAGAGTAAAGTAAGTTAACTTTTCTAGTGGGAATAGCTGACGAGTAGCATACATCTTTATTTTTACATCGTGGCTCTCCTAATGAAATTCTATCCTAATGAAATTAGGAAAGCTTGCTATAAGGCAGGCCTGGCCCTCATTCATAACAGTTTGGGAATACTGTAGGAGAAAAATGATATGGCTAAAGCTTTTCCTGGAACACAAACATGAAGATATAACTCTTGCTTGGGGGAATCTATGCACAGATGTCAACTAGTCATCCATTCTTCATATAAGGAGGAATCTAAAGTGACTCCAAGGAAACTGTTACCTGGAAAGACAAGATTCTCTCTGAGTCCTACAGATTATGTGGTGTGTTAAATGTGCCTGTCAGCTAGAAGTGGATGGAGGGCCCAGAAAAGGCATTGCAGGAAAGACCAAATTTGAGCTCGAGTTCCAAGTACAGACAAGGTACACAGTGATTGCAAGGTGGTTTGCCAGAGTGAAGTCTGGCTGTCTTCCAGAGCCTCCTAGCATATATTCTTTACATCGGTGGGTTTGCTGTGGCCCAGGACTTGGCCCGCAGTTTTACACACTAAATAACCTGGTTTTGTCAGCTTACCAAAAGCAAATTCACTTCTCAAGCACAAGCTCCTGAGATGGATGAATAAAATCAAAATGTGACTTTATTTACAATGGGAAATAATTGTTGCAGGAATGAAAATACTCAAAGACTCCATGAGCAACAACATGATGTCCTTGTAAGCACACACATGGAAAGAAAGAATAATCAGAAGGTTGTTTAATAAATATGGGATCAAAACAAAGACGTGAGATGGATCCAATTTTTAATGGCATTAAGCTCCGACAGCTGATGAGTTCACCTTCAAACAAGAGTAAGCTTGCCAAGAGAGTTTAGTGTGCTCAGTCTCTTGGCTAAATGTCCTTCCCTCCTGGGTAGTGCTGGATGAAAACTGCCAAGTTTGCCCTTATGACTTCTTTCTGAAGAGTTTTCATGACTAACCAGCTCATATTCAATTGAGACATTCTTTCCTCAGATATCTTAACACTCTGTATCGAGTTGCAGTCAGGAAAGCCTTGTTTCTGGCTTGATTTTTAAACTGAATTGTTATCTAAAATTTTTAAAAAACATTTCACATATTATAATTTATAAAGTGGAAAATCTCCCTCAACTTTTCCAAAGTTCCAGTGCCCTTCTCAGAAATCTATGCACATAGATATACAAGCATATATAGTTAAGTTTCTACATTGCCTTCTTGACTCAAAATGTAAATCCTACTTCGGATTATCATCTATCTATGTTGGCAGGAGGTTTAATCGTGATCACTGAAGCTCTTGCCCGTCTGCCCTATTTCTTTCTGCTGGACTCTTGATACTTTTGGTCTTTCATGTCATAATTCCTTACTGACCTAGCTCATCTCATCTTAAGGGACCTGAACGAGACTAAGTTCTATATTCTCATAGCTTTGCATGTTATATTCTGCTAAGATTTTCAGCTCCATCATTTTATTTCTTTTAACTTCCATGTCTTCTTACTTTGTCCTATCTTCTCCCTTGCCTAGCTCAGATTCTACAGTTCAGTCTTTTCAACTTCCATGTAGCACCTTTTTTTTCTCTCACCTGGAAAAACCCCGACTGTGAAAACCCTTCTACTCTTTCCATGGACTCCAAAGGAAAGCACAGAAAATTACCAGCTACTTAAATCTATTGCCGCAAACCTCAAGTAATTTGTCAGTTCTGCCTGGTGTTTTACTACTACTTTTAGACATTTTACATTTTACCTTTCCAAAAAAAGATCTTTACCATTTCCTCAAAGTCACAAATCCTTGTGCTCATGCTTAGTTCATGGTCCTGCTTTTCCCTGCTTTTCATTTTACTTAGGAAACATAAACAGTTCAAAGAGAAATTCCTCATTTTCTACCATTAAATCTACTAGAGATGCAAGCTACATGTTTTCTCTTATTTTTGTCCACTTATTATCACTATTGAAGTCTCGGGTGTCCAATTGGCCTTGCATTTTTTATAATCTCAGGCCTGTTCTCTCTACTCCTTGGCATCATAATTTTGTCCTTGTGGATCATTCTCATAAATAAAACACACACCCCATTTCTTTGGCCCTATTTTAGGAGGAAAATAGCTTTATATGTACTCTTGCCTCCTCTCCAGAAAAGCAACTGTGTTCACCAAAGTGCTACCCATATGCAGCTCCCAGATCTCAGTCTTTATTTACCTTTGCTTCTCAGTGACTTTCTCACCAATGATAACCCTTCTCCTATACAAGCCTTTCAATACCTGCCTTTGTGAAACTCCTGCCATAGCTAACAGTCACTCCTGTCGCTTCCCATGT